GATATTGGCTGACATTCTCTTGCCTGACCAGTAAAGAGGTTGCTCTGGCTTGATAATGAGAACATATGGATTCGAGGGGTCTTCTGGGGCCTCTTCAGCATGGTAACATGTCGTAAGCAGCGACTGAATATCGTTGGGACGATCAAGTGCGGCAGGCGAGGCAACAATGTAAAGGCCAGTATTGTTGGTACTGGAAGTCTCGACAAGGAAGTGTCCTGTAATGACCAACGACTCGTACAGGTCGTGCAGCTGCTCCTCGTCCAGATCGATGTTGTTGATATTGTACTCGGTACAATTCTCAAAACGCTGTGTGAGGATCCTGGAGAAACGGAACAGCTTTCGCTGTCGCACACGAACAGAATCCAAAATCTGCTTGTAGCGCTTTTCCATCTCAGACCCAGTCAGCTCATCGGGTCGGCGCTGGAGTTCTCGCTCAAAGTGCGCACTGAGACGGGTCAGGGACTTGGAGGTAAGAACACTGAACTGCTCTGCCGTCACCACATCACCGCCCTGAAGTTGGCGACCTAGCTTGTTGCAGAAATCCCACTCCTGTTCCAGAATTTCAGCTTCTTTGAATGTGTTCTTGTTGGCTGCCAGCTTCCAGTTGAGCATCTTGAAGTAGAACTTGAGGGCATCTAGAACAACCTGATCAAAGTTCTCTTCAATGCACGGTGGCAGGTCCCAGCCAGGCTCCGGCCGCGAGATGACCATATAGCTTTCCTTGACCTGGCCAGCCATGGCAAGAAGAATCTGAAACTGGGCAATCATCTGCTCAGCCATCATGACACCTTGCTGTGATGGGTCTTTGATCTTCTTGGCATAGGACAGGCGAACGCGGATAATCTCCTGAAGTAGACGAGAGGGGAAGTTGATGAGAGTCAGCAGCTCTTCGATATAGGGCGGGAGATGCCTGTCGGCGAATCCCTCTGCGTTTGCAATGAGCGTAGCCTTTGCTTTTTGAATGACCTTTTCCAGGGGCGTCAACAGGTTTGTGTCTCCCTGCAGAGACTTGAGGCCATCCTCCTTGAGTATCCGGTCAATAAACGAAGACTCATCGGTCAGATGGTGGTCATGGGAAGAGCGAGGGCGGGGCTTGGTAAAGTCCAACTCCTCGTTGCCAACCCATTTCTTCAAGATAGACATCTCAGTGTTGATAAGGGCAATGGTATTGTGCCAAGAAATAACAGCGTCGCAGGCGTCCTTGTAAGGTTGTGAAGCTGCTCTGGGGTATGCAGCCTCGAGAGCCTGCCGTGTGGGGTAGGCACTCTCCACCTTTTCAATCTTCTTGACGATATCCGCAACCTGTTGGGCAGCCGTCTGACCAGCCTCAGCCACTCCACCAACTTCAAAGGAAATAATGCTCTCGAGGTTGGCGCGAATCTTGCTCCTTGTGTCGTCGACTATTCGCCGTTGCGCCTGCAGCGAGCGGCCGCAGACCTTTGCGCGGATGCCCATCCAAATCTCCGCCTTCATTGTGCTGTCCCCTTGTTGCTCTGAGCTGCCAATCAAGCGCTTCTTTTCCTGCTTGACAACATCGCCTGTCAGCACACTGGCCAGCATCGAGTGCCACTCGAGGCGCTCGCGATTGGCAGGGATCTTGAGCTCCTCAATTGACGGCTGCATGTCGTCGTTGCCATAGTAGAGGAGCGTCTCCTGGTCGTAGGGGTCGTTGTCAACATAGTCGGCGGTCGAGGGCGAGTCGTCGTCCGTCTCCGAGTCGGTGCTATAACCAAGGCTGGGGGTGCGCAGGGCTGGGTCAAAGAATTCGTCTTGCTGATCCTCCTGGCGAATGCGCTGAACATAGGCCTTTTCCTGAGCACGGTACTCAGCGTTGGGGTTGCGGCGCGAGCGCGTGGCCGAGTTGTTACGCTGGCGGTGCGTATTGGAATTGAGGGAGAATTGCTGGGGACGGCGAGCAGGAGCGTATGCGTTGCTGGGAGTTCGTACAGCAGCAGGACGCTGGCCTCTACTCGAGGAGCTGAGGCCAGAGCCGTTGGGCTGCTGGGTGGCGGGTGGGACGTCGGTCATGATCTGGGGCCCACGAGGGCGCGACGAGGGTGGAGTGGCCGTGTTCCAGCCGTAGGCCGACTCACGTAGGGGAGCAATATCGTCGACGGCGGCAGCAGGCTGGACAGGCGGAGCAAAGTTGTATTCGCCATGATGCTCCATGTCGGCAGTGCCAAGTAGGGCATCGTGATCCGAGTCGGTAGACGAACCAGACCCTGAGCTCTCCAGGCGCTGAGGCTCGGGGGCGTTGATGACGACGGGTTTGGGAACGTCAGCCATGGGCAGGGCGTGTTGCAGCAACAGCAGTGCGCGTGGTAGTGAGTAGGTCTACCCGTTGTGGTTCAAAACCTGCTGGAGGGAAGGGGAGGTGTGGCGGAAAACTGTGGCGAGTGTCTTGTGTGGCGGTGCGGATGTGCAGCGGACTGCAATGCTAGTGCCAACCTCGCGGGGGCACGGCACAGAGGCGGGACGGGGCGCTCATTTACTTACAGCTTACATATGTATGCACATGTCATAGGCTACATGTTACGGGCTGCATGTCACATGCAGTTATCGCACTATGCAATTTCCGTTCAGCAGCTGGCACGCCACGGGCCACTACCCCGATGCGCTACAGTCGTGACGTGGGTATCGACCCTCATTCTGACTCTGACTCGTGCACTGCAGCTGAAGAGAACCTGCACTATCCATTACGCTACTTACACTACAAGACTGAGAGTCGTTACAAATACATACACATATACACACCATCTTCCCTTGCTGGTCTCCTCTAGATGTCCTTCCTCGCCTGCTTGCTCTTGTGTCTAATCTGCTTGCCCCACTTATACAACGCAAATGGGATCGGGATAAAGGCAATGCCCAAGAACGCCAGCAGACTGCTCGCCCAATCGACGCCAAGTTTTTTGTACATGGCGTTCGCGAACAGTGGGAACCCCGCGCCAAACGCCGATCGCATTAGATCGTTGCCCGCCAGCACACTAGCCACAGAGTCGGGATACGCATCGCTGAGATATGGTAGGACCGCCTGGAAGAGTGTAAAAGCCGCAATGCCAAAGCAGCCAGATCCAACAATCGGCACCATGTAATGCACGTCCGGCCTCGACGCCCATCCGAACCAGAACAGACAGATGGGCACGAAGAAGCATCCGACCATGGCAGGAATCAGCCGCTTCTCTGGCTCAATGTTGCCGTTTTCGTCAAACTGATTCTCCAAGTAGAAATAGTTCCATGCGAAAAGCACACTTGCTGCGATGAAGGTGCCAACGAGAATGCCAAGGAAGGCTAATCCCATGATACCGAGACTGAATCCGTATATGCCCTCGAATACGATTGGGAACGACTCGAACCAGATGTATAGTAGGCCATAAATGAGTGCAATGTACAGGTTGAGCAGGAGGACTATTGGCTCGGTGAAGTTGAGCGTAATAGGCTTTACTAGAACCATGAGGACAACCTAGTTCGGGTCAGCAGTGCACTAGCGTACCACCATCAGCCTCAGTATACGTACATCCTTTCCTGTCATCTCGGCCGCCATCAGATCGGGCTCGCAAGTAAACCGATCGTCACCGGTCAATTTCCTCAACCGCTTAGCCCGGCGGTGCAAGATATTGGCCGAGCTGGTCTCCGGGAGGAAAAAGAACAGCACAACCCAGCAAAAGCCGGATAGCCACATAATCTCCCATATCGTCCACTTCCATCCCTTTGATATGACGGCAAATCCTCCCACTAAGGGACCCAAAACAGGGCCGCATACTGCACCTATTCCCCAGACTGCCAACCCATAGACTTGTTTCTTCGGCCGGTACATGTCGGCAATGGACGCCCCTCCTGTCGCAAGAGCTGGCGATCCAACAAATCCAGTCAAGAATCGGAAGGCCAATAGCATACCGAAGTTGACTGAGAACACCGTGGGCAGCTGTAGTAACACAAAGAAAACTAGAAATCAACCCATGTTAGCCCAGCTCAGGTGCCATTTTGGAACGGGAATGCTTACGAAGTGTGATAATGTACACCCACAACCTCCCTATTTGTGGGATTTCACTCATCGGAGACCATAGGATAGGACCAAGACCATATCCCGCAACGTATAACGTCAACCCCAATAGCGCAGGCACCTGAGCAACGCCAAACTCTTGCATGACCCCCATCAAACCAGGAGTGTAAATGGCAGATCCAATGTAGACCGAAAAGGTGAGGAGGCAAATCTCAAAGGTGACAAAATATTTTTTTGCTCGGGGCCAGTTTCGTGGGTTCTTTTCGGAAACTGTCAGTAGCCGTCTACACGGTTGAGAAAGATTAGATCTTACCTGTGGATCATTAGGTCCATCCCAGTCAACAACATGATAATCGCGTCCCTTTTCTGGATCAACGCGAACACCACTGGGTTCATTCACATCATCGCCAAGCGTGGTTTTGGACTCGCCAGAAGCATCACTCCCATGGCGACTACGGACACTGCCTGCATGCGCAAGCTCCGGCACTTCATCTGCGTTCTCAGGCGGCTGCGTGGATCCATGGTACGCCACATTCCCCGATTTCTCTTGATTAACGAATCTCTTCCAATACTCTGGGTCCTTCTCTTCAGGATACTGAAGATATTTTCTCCCTGTGACGAGGCGGACGCAGTGTCCAAAAGCGGTATCGCGAATTAGATCCGCCCACATGGTTTACTCGTTCGACGAACCACAACAACTATCCTCACCAAGAGTTTTTTTTATGAAAAAAAAAGTGACAAGAAAAGCTAATAGCCAGCACTCACGCAAAGCCGTTGCGGTGACGAAAATATACATAAAATAATTGCCGGCATCCCAAACGCTTAAGTTCATAATCGTTCATAATCTTCAATCGCTGACATCATCACCAGCATCATCGACTTTCCAACTCGTACCGCCGAACCCTGACGCGCGACCGCCCGCGCATTCCGACTCTGCGGCTCCGATATTTCCGATTGCCCACTCGATTGCAGAGCAATTCTTATCACCGAAACACAGAGTTCATGACGACCGACTTTGTCGGCACCGATCGGGCGCCCGTGATGCGGCGATCGTGGGGCCAAGGTGTTGCTTTGTCAGTCTTGCTCGCTCACGCTCTGGAGCAGGCCGATCGGAGTGCGACGGATGCGGACTTGCGATGTTTGGGAGCTTGTGTGGGTGTGATGTGTCATTGATGGGTGGGGACTGGATTTGGTGATCATATCGATGGGGTGGAGGCGGTGGGCTTGGCGATGCTTGCCTGGACGTTGGGCTACGTATTACTAGTTGGTAGTTGCGGTTTTACCTCTATTTCGAAATTCCCATAGTATGTAGTAGTTAAATTGGACTCCAATTCCTTGATTTGATGACTACGGATAGCATATGTAAACCATTTCCTCATCTCGCTCTCCTACAAGTCTACATACCAACTAACCATCACCACCTAACCCACTTGTCTATCGCAACCCCTCCAATTCAAAGCAAAACAAAACACCGATCTTACATGAGTCCCGTACCACCACTCCCCATATCCATTCACTCCACAAAAAAACTCCCAACCCCCACTCTATCATCCACCATCTCATCTCACGCCCCACAGCACCCTCCGCCTCTATCACCCCCTCATAAACCAACCTCCGCCATATCTCCAACTTCAATGCTAAGACACAAATCGAATGACCTCAACGCCGACAACAAACCTTTCAGATAACCTGCCACAACGCCGCACACTCCTTCTCCAAGAACGATGCTAAAAACATCTTCAAGCTACGCATTCTTCACTTTATTCTTAATTAAAGACTGTAGAGTCTGTTTAGCGTCTCGACTGGCTCGTTGAATGCGGTTTAGCAATGTGTGCTCCGTTGATTTATGCACATCGAAGTGATCTGATGTTGTTTCGTAGGGCGGAAAGATGTGGGGGTTGAGAGGGGAGGACGATAGGATTGAGTTGTAGCATAAGGTTGCTTCGAGGTAAGGTGGGGGCTGGTCGATAATGATGTTAGAATTGTGGGTTGTTTTGTTGGAGAAGAAGTGCGGGGTTTTCATCGCGCTTGGTTTCTGTGGGGTTGAAGATGACATGTTTGGGGGTTTTTTTTGGTTGTTGCGGCTGTTGAGCGAGGGGAGGGGAGGGGGAGGGTTTTTGTACTCTGGTGAGAGGGTATCGGGGGTGTTTAGTATGACGGGACAAGGGCACTTGGATATCAGGGATAGATCGGTAAATTTGCCATGTCGAAACGTGTACTGAGGGTATGTTTTCCGGCATCTAGGAGCACCATGTGTACAGCTATGATTCTAATTTTGACAAGGTCTGTGTAAGCTAGTTCATACAGTTCTGAATGTAGAGCAGTATTCCAATCAAGCTTACGATCCGCTAATCAGCTCGGTGAGTTTACGGTACACCTTCCACTTTAGTATGTGGCTTATGCCCACTTCAAAACATAGTTTCGTGGTTCTGAAATATATTGAATTATGCAGGCATGTCGGCCGCCGACGCAAATTTTAGGTTAACGGGTAAACAAGGTATTTATGCTCATCTTCGATCTGTCAACATGTGTGCACACTGTATGCTTCTGGAATACTTCCAGCATAGTGCCAGGCACCACCCGACTATAAGCCAACACTAGAAAGATCACCCAGTAATCATGGTCTGTCCTACGCTCATCAGCTGAGATAATCTTGTTTTCTCTTCCCAACACAGACCTCATAACATGATACCTTGTGTCAGCTACCATGCATTCAACCCACTGATTTTCAACCGCTATACTGTCTTAGACAGTGTCACGAGCCGTGTCAAAGTAATCTTAGAAAGGCCGAATCTGGTTATCACGCAAAGCTGGCTAGATCCACTCTACCTACGTATTCGCTGATCTACCCCAGCTCTCTGGACGCCTTCACAGGACCATTCAGCATCTTGCTCTTCTGATCCAATTCCGAAGGTCATAGAACGCTTGTTACAGCTTGCATTACGCACGTTTCCAATGGCTTTCTCGACTCCGATCCCGAGAACCCGTATGATGGCCAAACCTACCCTATCCTACGGTCAAAATCAACTCACCGCTTTAAATTGTGGTTGAAGAGTGCTGGTATCACTTATCTTCTCGCTGTGGGAACTCGCTGTAGTTGTCGAAATAGTGCAGGAGCGAACTGGCGTCGTAGCGGGGCAAACGCAAAAGGAAGAAGTCACATGCAACCTCTTACGTGCTACTATATATTGAAGCAGGTCAGCATTCATATGCTCAAATGTTCATACTTATGTCATGCTATCGGAAGTACAAATCTTGAAAGAAATTCTCTGTAGGTTTTCATTTTTACTAACGGAATAGGGGTGGGGGGTTCAAATGTAGCCGTAAACGCCTTTTCATCCACTCAAACTTACGCTCAGAAGTCGTCCAACAAACCTTTGTTTCACTATCGCTGCTATATGAACATAAGTTCTATCTACTTATTACTAATACGATGCAGAGTCTATCCCTTGGAACAGAAAGAAGTCTTATCTTGAATGGGTACCGTCTGAAATTGAGTTTCGCCTGGAATTTCCGTTTTGCCACGTGGCTGCAGCAAATTTACAAAGAAATCCGTTGACAAATAGACCTCATGACGTGATCGAGCCGTAAGCACGAGGCCGAGCTTCAATGCTGACAGTCTCTATGAAGGAAGCCGAAAATCGAGCAGCTCAACGGATCCTGAGCTGCCCCTGTTGTATCTCCAGATTAGTGACTAAGATTTTATCGGCATGGTGTATTTTTGGTCGTCAAGGGCAGCCTTGTGAGTGTCGCAGAAATATCCAAATCCAACAATAAAGTCTCCAAGTATATATGTAGTACCATCTTGCCAGTAGCACCACGTCCATTCGCACCTAGTATCAATTACCCACGCATAGTAATCAACACTTCAGACATACTAGCAGCATAAAAACAGATTTTTACGTGCCCGCTAACGGCGCTTATCACTGAACACTTCATCGGTCTGTGCGTAGGTCACGTGTGTACCATGTCTTCCTAATTGTGTACCCGCTTCTGGTTCATTGGCTCATCATATTTCTTTATCAATCCCAGCAATAGCATATCACCAAAATTAAAAAACTGCGAAGATACAGACATATATTTAACTGATGTACATAGTTAACAGCAGTGCACTGCACGGAGGCCGCCAGCTCAAATATAAAGTCTCGCCCTGATATCACGTAGACATACCCTTTAGCCAGCACTTTGCGGATGAAAGAGATATTTACGAATTCTACCACACAAGACACAAGACTAGCCCATTTATTGTAGTTAAAGACAACCGCCTGTCCAATGTTCGCAATTGGCTCTCAAACGGGTGTCAGGAACAAATATCGAACGGCCGTTCGCATCCGTTCCAACAACCCTTGAGTATGCCCTTGCGCACTCGGCATCAGTAACAGTATGATCAGGAATAAACTAGAACTAATAAGTCTTATGCTGTCGGGATTTAGATTTCTGCTTACTGAATTAATATCCCTGTTTACATCATGGCAAAAGGCAGATGAATGGACATCGCCAAGATGGCGTGCAACTACAATCTTCGGATTTTCAAAGTCATAGCAGTTACACATATATGCGCTAACAATAGCTAGGCTACTACGTTGTTAGGTTGGTGTAGAATAAAATAAGAAAAGCTTGATAAACAAACTGCTCACTAAAGAGTCCTCTCGAGGACAAGGAACGCTCACATCTTGATTGTTAGAATGATGAAGAAACGGGTGCGAGTGGATTTAGTAATCGATTCAATGCTCTCCTTCCTTGCGGTGGAGGCACCGCTCCTTCTTACACCTCTATGTCTGCGTTCCAACCCTAATCGTAGCTGTAATACGGATAGTACAATGCCCGTATCTTACTACTATATGTTAGAATGGCGTTTTTTAGTAGTAATACGGATAATACAAGCTCCATGTCTACAACCACCAGTTAGAATAACCTTCTCCGGTAGTAATTCGGGTAATAAAAGCCTTACATCTTACTACAAGTTATACTGAAATATTACGATTCTACCTTATGGACATAAGAGTATTTCGCCGCTATATTAATTCACGTAGTCCTACATAGAATCGCTAATATATTATAGAAGATATAGATACTTAATTAAGACTATGATTTTACAATATATATTTATATAATACGTAGTAATTACTTGATATTTAAATTTCTAGGTAACGAAATACTTTGTGTATTAAGAGATAAAATACTCAATAATTACCACTTTTTAGTAGCACTAGGTGTTTAAATATCTACTTGAAGCTTTAGTGTATAGCATACTGTGAAAAGCTAACTATAAAACTAAAATACGTAATTGTTATAGTATTTACTTAGTAGATAGGAATAGGTTCTTACCGGCTCTCTCTATAACATATAGCTACTATAGTATCTTCTTATATTATTTTAGTAGATTTAAAGCTATCGTATAGTTAATAGTGATATTGTAACCTTATTACTAATTAGAATATGAATTTCAAGTCATAATAACGCGAACAGAGGCCCTGGGATGTACTACTGGTTATGACACCGAGAACCGGCCCTAATATTGCGTGATGTGTTGAGAATTAATACCTCAAACGGGTATTGCATCATTCTTTATATGTGTAGGACGAGTATAAAGTGTCACCTCAAGACCCCGTCTTGTTAACATTAAACACCATCAACGCTTCATTCAGATCCAGCAATATCCATTGAATTCCTCAGACACGCCAACATGCACTTCTCAACTATTCTTTTCCCCCTATACCGTCTGGGAATCGCCGCAAGCTCTTCTCTCAATGCAAGAACCATTGATTCTTCTATTTCCAGCAGACTTGACTCTGCGACCCAAGGCAAGGCTCTCGTCTCAACTGCATCTACGCACTAACTAACCAATCTTCTAGCTTATATCAACACTAACCACCTCAACCTTGTTCCTCTCGAGATCAAATCATCTACTTTGGAGATCCGCCATGGTAATGACCCTATGGAAAATCTCGTACATATCTAATCTAAAGGTAAAGCATCTCTCGGTCCCGATGCGCGGGCTGGAGGGCGGTCTCTTGAACGCCGTGGTACGATATCTTGATAGAGCAATAGCTGTATCTATGCACTAACAAATCACTAGGGGAAACTGTCGACTTTACTCCTGGCATATCATGGGAGGATAGACGTATCTATACAATTGAAATCAATGGAGTCTCTTCTATCGTGAGTGCCTGGTTTACAGACGAAGGAGTGTTGTTTAGGGTAGAACCTGCATCCCCTGGTGGTAAGCAATGGCAACCTGTCAGTCTATTTATAATAATCATGGGGAGCAGCGGATTCTATCGAGGCTGCAGTTTACCAGTCTGACAGGCGCGTTTTCACAACCATTTCTAGCTGGGCCTCAAACGAGGTTAAATTCTTGGCCTCTAACACCGCGTTCGAATATAGCCGTGGGGAAAGCTTTAGATTCACATGGTAAGGTTCATAAGGAGAGAAATTGCCACGTGTCTTGGACATGAAGCCAAAGGAAACCCTCAGGGCTCTATCGGGTACTATAGCGGGACTTTGAGTCCAACCGTTGGTCGAGAGCAGTTTGAACACGATTGCAATTCTAGGGAGAATAGGGGAAGTCTAGGTATTGTTGTGCTAGAGGCGTAGTGTTGCTAGCAGAGATAGTAGTGGTACGAAAACGTCATTGGAGATAACCACTTTCATTAATACAATCATTCTCCAGAAACTATTCTAGATCCAAGAACGGTCCATCCCTTATTAGCCTATGTAAGTATATCTCATTATGTGATGAATTCAGCAGCTGCCTATAGATAATCCGAGAGAAGTATATACTAAAATATTTAGTGGCCAAGCCTAGCTAGAAGGAGCTATGCTTAGAAGAGAAATTGCGAGGTATATAAGAGGTTATTGTTGGTTACTATTACACACTTAGATTCTAAATATACAATGTAATTTCCTTTTGTGTAAACTGCTTGCAAATAATAATTTTACGCTGGTAAGAAGCATTCCAGCCATTGATCCAACAATCTTTTCGGCGTTCGACACGCAAAGATCTTTCTCTAAGCCAAAACTCCAGACACCACAGCTTTTGAATTCCGATACGCCCCAAACGCCAATGCCCATGCCATATCGCCCGCACTACTGTTACATATATTGAATTTTTGAACTTCCAATTCGACACTTCTCTTGTTCTTAAGCACCAACTTTACTTTCTCTTTTGATAGAGGCTGACTCTCCTCCTCTGCTAGGTGATTCAGCCGCGGAAAGGCAATTTCGCAGCGCCATCAAGATACAGAGACCAATGTTGGTCTATCTGATGCAGTCAATGAGTGATGCAGGCGAGCCTTCCAACCGATCGCTCATCACAGGCGTCTTCAAAACCTTAAGCCGATGATGCGCGAACTCGTACCGGCACTAGGCACATGGTTCCTGGTTTGAAATTAATGTAATGAGAGTGGCTGGTTTGTGTTTTTGTGTCTTTGTTACCATCAGTATGCCTTGTATTGATGTCCAAGGGCTAGCACGTACCTATCGCCAGAAAATGCGATTGAAGTGTTATTTCGATACAGCAGAAACGGCTAAATCTCCTCACGAAGCTTGACTTTCGAGTACCTCCAGATAGTGCTCCAATGCACTCTCTGAGGCCTGTCGATGTGGATCAGTGGTCGCCAGAGTAGTTTCCTGTACTTTGATTATATGATTTAATAACTCCACTGCCTCCTTCATTTGACAGTTTCTCCAGTACACTATGGCGAGGTCACGCTGCCATGATATCTGACTACGATTAGTCTCCGGTAGCGTAGCTTGAACTTTTACGACATGTTCCAGCAACTCTACAGCTTCTTTGACCTTTCCGTTGTCCCCGTATAGCACAGCAAGGGCATCTTGCGATCGTAGACGATCAAGATAAGTCACTGGCAACATAGCCTGCACCTTTACCACATGCTCTAGCAACTCTATAGCCTCTTTTATCTGCCCGTTTTCCTGGTATACTAGAGCGTTGTAAAGAAATGTTGAAGCTAATACAAAATTCACGTACCTATCACCTTAATCGCGACGCGGGAGCCTTTCGAAGCTTGAGTACGGACGCTACAAGTTGAAAAAGAGGGGATTTTGGCGGACAAGAACTTGTCCAACACTAGTTGTAGCAGCTGGAATACATCCACACTCCCTTCAGTTCTGGCCTTTTAGGCATATCTACATCAGATTTCTTGAATTCACGGTGAGTCATCACTAGACCAATGAATTACAACAGCACACCTACCGTCTACTTGGAATTCAATGCTATAGAAAAAATTACAGCTATCCAATCCCATAAGCAAGAATAAATGAACACGAACTTTGGACAGCGCTTCCAGAAATCTATCCAGCGGAAACCCTGCACATATTGATCTGTAAAATGCAAATACAATCAAGGCGTACACATAATACAACAGATTCAAGAACAAAAAGTCCCCTTGAATCAATTGGTTTGATATATGAATTTACAGGGGCAACAATCATCATCCTACGCATAAATCCTTGGGCAAGGCCGATACTAAAATCAATTCAGCAAGAAGCACGAAGATGGCGAGATGCTTTTTCGGTTGAATATGCTTTAAGCACAGTAACCAACACGTTTCAAAGCCAATCGGTACTTGAAAACGAACTTTTGGCTTGATATATTTGCTAGCAAACAAAGGCTATAGATGACTTTTCGGCCGCTCAACTTGTTCAGTCGTATATGCTCAAAGTCTTCCAGTGCATCATGGAGATCTTTGGCGATATTTTTCGACTCGAAGCGATGCGGGTGGATGTGATCTCTGGAGAGCAAGTCATCACATGTAAGATATTGGACTAAGACTAAATCAAAATGTTTCCGAATGCGGAATGACAGCATCGAGGGCCCAATCTGCACCTCAAGAGAGGAGCATAATCTCATGTCGCTAGTGCTGAATACCAAAGTCCAAACAAGATCTATCCCCCCTACCCCCAGATCTCACACTATCCTTAGCGGGGCCACACCCCTCATACCCCTCCAAAACTCTGTCGGCGACTCCGCCCCCATCATCGTCTCCATCCACTCACCTTCCATCCACCCCTGCACAAAGCACGCCCCAAGAACCGTATACGTCTCATCGTCTTTTTCCTGCAGAATGAGCGGAACAGAGCATCCGGCTAGAACAGCAATATGGCACTTCTGTCCTATTTCCGACCATTTTTCAGCGATGTACGCGGGCATCAAGCCCATATACCCGGCGTCTGATATAAATGGTTGTCGGCCGCGCAGAACCTGTCTGACTATGTTTCGGGCTTCAGATTCGCGGTACCCATGTACCCATGCGGAAACATGTTTAGAGAGATCCGTCTGGCATGTGTATGGATCGTCGAGAGGGGATTTGAAGTCAGGGTTAGGTGGCCATGCGGCAGTGTTATCGCCATGGCACATTGCCCAAGCTGCCCGTAGGGGGTCTTCGTAGATGTTTGAGTCGGAGTTGCGGAAGTGCTCGGTAAGTTCGATAGTCCAGCAGTGGAATTCCCAGTCAGGGTCGGCGGATTGGAGATGTACTGTTTCAGTTGATATTTGTGGAGGTTGTTGTAGGATGGTTCCAACTTGATCTATGATGAGTCCAGTACAATGTAGCACATTGTCCTGGAAATGGAGGATGGGGTCTTCGAATATATCGTGTGTGATACCGCCGTCTGCGGCGTACAATCTTCCTTGTTGGTCGTTTACTATCGAGATAAATTTCATCGGGATGTAGTCCTTGCGCACAAGACAGCTGGTTTGAGTGGGGACACTCCAATCCGGCGCCCAAGACGGCGTTTTTCTGTAAAAGGAGGAGCTGTTTTCTGACGCTTCCACTGCCCCCAAGATATCCAGCGAATGGTTCTGGTCAATCCAGGCTCGAGCAAAATCAGCGTAGATGCGTTCATACGGCTTTGTGTAATGAGGCTTGAAGTCTAGGCCGGTCTTATCTTGAGCTAGGTTCCACAGTGCGAAGATCTTATCTCTGGGATCAGTGCTCTCAAAATCCCGAGCCATTATGACTGCTTCCAGAAAACCTGGTGCATCTTCACTCGTCTTAACGTAAACGAATCCCAGTCCGATACCACCATTCGCCAAATGTCGAAAATAGAAGAGCTTACGTGCATAAGACAACGTATCTATTTCAATCTCTTTCAGAGCTGGATCGGCTTCTTTCATTCGCTTGGAAAGTCTTTTATCGCGGCTCAACATGTCCTGAAGCTTATGCGCAGCCGATTCAAGATAATCCCAACTATCTTTTCGACCAGGGATGCATACTACCATTGGATTCGAAGCATAAGCAATTTCCTGGAAAATTCTTAGTAGATCAAAATGGTTTTTGGGTTTCAGAAGTTACCTGCAGCATCCATATCCGCCGGAAGTATTGCCTACAAAAAAGCTTGTATAGGCCTGCACATAGCTTTGCTAATTGATCAGGCTTAATGGTATTCTCGTTGCCGTCGCTTTGGCCGCGTAGAACGTCTTCCGATGGGAAATGGAACTCGTTGGACTCATTTTTGCGGACGATTGGGTGTTTGAAGAGTTCTTTTGTAAAAGAGAATACTGACTCACTCCCTTCGGTGGGATTCCCGATATATGAGTAGACTGCGGTAGCAAAGTCATATATCTCCCCCATACGCGGCACCTGCCGAGCGCGCTCAATCAAGTCTTTTTGGTTGATCGACAGAGCGTCTATCCAAACTGGCATGATGACATTAGGGTTTCTTATGACACGAATAGCTTCAGCGAGGTTCTTGCGGACTGTCATCTTTTGTCCTGCCATTATAATCTGCTCCTGAGTATCATCCACGCCCCAACAGTCTTCAAACCAAAGTCAGTTTTTTTGGGTTTGTCTTCTTTCCATTTATGTTCAAGAACTTACAAGAGAGAGCAGTATAATGTTCGTTAGTGTCAATCGGACAATGCGCCACATGAATGAGTATGGGCGCATGTGCATCCTGAGCAGGCATTATGCACATGATTCTGATTTCATCAGCCACCATATCCAGTGGCATGTATTGGAAGCCCATGGTTGGTTCGTCCAAACTGGCACTGGTACCCAGGCGGATGGGGCACACCCTAGGTACGACTAGCTGGTCTGGAACACCATACCATTGCTTATGCTGTGCAAAACGGCTTCGAGAAACGACGCGACGAAAGTAGCCGCTCTCCACAAGATGGTCGTTGGTCTCGTGCATATCAAATACTTCATAAGCCCGCGTATACATGAAATCGCTAAAATCGCGGGTCCAATACGCCTTCTGCTCTTGTTGGTCTGATTCCACTACACAGGCATATCGTACCCAAACATATGTTGGTCTGTCAACCGTTGTACGAAAGTAGCGTAAAAATCTTTCCAAGGCAAACGAGAGAAACAAGGCCTTCCCGTCTACCTCTATAGGCTGTCTATACTCTCGGTGTCCTCTTGCATTCTTGATTGCAACAAAAGGAGGAAGTTCAGTGAGGGGGTATGTTGTAAGGGTGCAGCGCACATGCTCAACTGCTTCATTTGCTGGATTCAAGAGCAACAAACGAGCCTCGCTCGGATCGAGACGAAGTGGTGTGTATTCCATCTGGGGCACGAGTAACCTGTCCGAACCATCTTTGGTGACGGTGTAGAGATCATTTTTTAGTAGGGGTGTGATCTTGGGCGATGCAGGTTTATTGGTCGTTTCGTCAGATGGTGTGTCGTTATGTAATGGTGATGGAACAAGAGGGTCAGCAGTCGAAGACTGTTTATCTTTTACCGATATCATCGAAATCAGAGATGGAGGAATAGAACAAGGTAAGATGACAAAGAGTTCTGTAGACTAGTGCATGTCACTTTGATTGCGAACCTAGCCTTTTATTGATCGTGTTAGCGTAGCGGGGTACACAACGGTTGCCTAAACACAGCCCAGATAAGCGAGATGGTACCAGAGCTACTGCTGGTCAAGGGTAGTGCGATGAACTATCTAGGGGTGTCGCGTACAGAACAGCTTTGTGTGAACAGCTCTCAACTCATAAAATATTGCCCTCAATCGTGATTAATCCCATGATGTGCTATACAACTTCGAACTCGTAATAGACGTATGCGGTGTACTCCTGGTCGCCCATGTGTCCAGCTTGTTGCATGTCAATGGACATGGACTGGTCGTCCTTCTTGATGCGGCCTTTGCTATCACGGCCGAAAGCGTTGCCACCAAGGTATGAGTAGGCTGTATCAAGGTTTGCCTTTGCTTTTTTCGCCGATTTGGCGTCGGTCTTGGCAGTGTTAGTATTCAAGCAACGGCGCAACTGGTGTAAATAAACTCACCTGAACAATGCCGCATACAAAATCCAGCGGTAGGCCGTACCTCAGCACGGTTTCCACAAACACTCTGAGTGCTAGGACATGAATCCAGATCATAGCACTCTCGCTGTATCCTGTGCGACCTAGCCGCAGCGCCTCACCCCAGAGCTTGCGCTCATCCTTGGCCAATTGGTCGGCCTCCTTTGCCTCCTCTTCCTTTCCACCTTCCTTGTACGTGTATTCTCTCGGAGTCCATCGCTTTTCCCTGCACTTATGGACAAACTCGTTGGAGTGCTTTTTGAATGTTGTGACGGCGAACAGGGTAAACTCATCATCCTGTGCAATCTTGTTGGCGGAGCGGGGGACAACCATGGGGCTCAGCTCTTCGTATGCCTGGTAGAAGTCTTTCACAGCCGTGTTGGGGACGGCAATGAGGTGTGTATCGAGGTATTCAGAGTCGCGGACAATGGACTTGGGATTGACGACATTGACGAGGGACTTGGTAGACAAGTTGCCGGTGCGCTTTCGCTCTGCGGCTGCAAGGGCGCCCTTTGTCTGGTTGTACTGGCTGAACTTGGACTTGACATCGTTGTCGATACCTTGTATCTCCTGCGCGCGCGGTTAGTCTGCTGGGTGGTGCAATGACTATGCCCTGCGGCCTACCTTTTGTAGTGCATCTATGAGATCTGCGATGGGCTTGTCTGCGCGGTACTTGACCTTGTTCCACTGGAAGCTGCGCAGGTACTGGTCGACGGGCTCTGCATTATGTGAGCTCTTGGGTACCATTCACTCGGCCAGTCCCCCCACGTACTGTCATTTATCGTCTTCTGCTGCTGCACCTTGGACTCGTCGCCGTCGAGAATCTGGCGCAGACTCTCTCCGACCTTTGCGACTACACCCTCGCAGGCATTACTGAGCTTGGAAAGTTCATCGGCCTGCTGGACGAGGGCATCCAGGGTTCCGATCTTGAAGTTGGGTATGGCGAACGGAGAAGTGTTGCCAACGTCATTGGTCACGGTGGAGCGCAAGGCCGTCAGGGCGTCATCGTGGTGATTCGAGGGGGAGATAGACGTCGGCAGCGACACCAGCAGGTACTTGCTGCCCTTGGACATGGTTGCTGCAGTCGTCTCGGGGCGATCGGGTCGCGATATAGACAGCTATGGGAACGATGTCTGCATTCGTGGATGCAATCCAGCTTCGGAGCTTGGATCGCCGGGCGGCCCAGCTATCTGCCCGCCGGCGTCATTGGCGCTCTGACTATATAACTTCCATCCGCCGCCGATACCCGTCGGACAGCCAGCAACAGCATTTCCTCCCCATCCACACAAAATGGCCTCCAGAAAAGCAGTCGTTGCGTTGCGCCCGGTAGCCAATGCCCTTGCGCCCCAGGTTGGAAGACTTCAATGCCCAAAAGCCGCCCGGTATTCAACCAGATCATGCACACTGCCAGCCCCGCGACCCCGCAACTTCACAGGACCAGCGCGAAAGCATGTGCGATGGGCTTCTTCACAGGCAGCAGACGAACAGCTGGGCAAGACTGGTTTATATGAGTTACACAGCAAGTATGGCGCCAAGTTTGTGCCCTTTGGCGGATACTTGATGCCTGTCCAATACAGCGACTTGAGCATCATCGACTCGCACAATTGGACGCGCGAAAAAGCCAGTTTGTTTGATGTCGGCCACATGTAAGACGCCATACACAGCCAGGGTGGTGGTGAAAGACGGTTCTGTAAGCTAACCATATTCAGGGTCCAGCACCACTTTTCTGGTCCCGGTGCCGAGGCCTTCCTCGAGAGCATCACTCCCTCTGCCCTCTCTGCCTTGCCCAAGCATCAGTCTACCCTCTCAACCCTGCTCAACTCCAATGGTGGCATTGTTGACGACACTGTCATCACGCGCCTCACTGACAGGTTTTATGTTGTGACAAATGCAGGCTGTCGAGAAAAGGACACTGCATACTTCAAGGCACAGCTGGATTCATGGAAGAGCAAGCATTCTGGTCAACCAGTCGAATGGCAGATTCTAGACGGACAAGGCCTTGTCGCCCTCCAGGGACCCCTCTCCTCCGAGATCCTCTCCCGTGTGCTTGACGACAAGTCAAAGAAGGACCTTGAATCACTCTACTTTGGCCAGTGTGCCAATGCGACCATCAAGGGTACCGATGCCGAGGTGCTTGTCAGCCGTGGTGGCTATACTGGCGAAGATGGCTTTGAGATCAGTATTCCTGCTTATGCCACCGAAGCCGTCACTCAATACTTGCTTGACTCGGCCAAAGACGAGCTGCGATTTGCAGGTCTCGGAGCACGCGACACCCTTAGACTAGAAGCCGGCATGTGTCTTTATGGCCATGACCTAGACGACACCACAACACCTGTCGAGGCCGGCCTTTCCTGGATCATCGGCAAAGACCGCCGCGCAAAAGGCGGCTTCCTCGGCGACTCTGTCATTCTGCAACAACTAAAGAAAAAGTCGGAAGGCGGAGGTGTTTCACGCCGTCGAGTAGGTCTCGTCGTTAAGGGATCCCCCGCCCGAGAAGGCGCTGAGATTGTCAATGAGGCTGGTGAGAAGATTGGCAACATCACCTCTGGCTGCCCATCACCTACCCTCAAGAAAAACATTGCCATGGGTTACATACAAGACGGCATGCACAAGGCGGGCACTGAAGTCGATGTTGTGGTTCGTGGTAAGAAGCGAAAGGCTGTCGTCACAAAGATGCCATTCGTACCAAGCAAATATTTCAAACAGCCAGCCAACGTAAAGGCATAGATTGTTGCTGAACATCCGGAATTTTGGCATCTTCAACCTGCCATCACCTCTTTGAGCGCACCATTGCACTGAGCTAATCAAGTTCTCGCAGCACTGGTAACTTGCCTAGTCTCCCTCGCGGCTCTTAGTAGCTGCCAGCGATTTACATTGCGCATGGCATTGCATAAGAATATTATTATGACTAAATCCATTGGTCCCCATCCGTTGGTCTGTCGCCATTGGCGCAAGTCCAAGCGGTGTGCTCATCGAACATGTTTGTAAAACTAGTAGAGACGTAGTCCAAGTCAAAAGAAGACTTAGGAACACTCGAAATCTCAACATGGCTTGGCTCGGGGCGATCCTCACAAGCAATACGGCAACTAGACCGCCGCCGTACAATAGATACGAGATAGTACCGCGAATCAAATCACTTTTCCATGACCAATCTTACCTGTCCATTATCCAAAAAAAATGAACTCTGGCGTTTTGAAATTGACTCTAACGGGGCCTTTTCCGTCGGGTCCGTTCGCATATCACCGACCCCAGATCCTAGTCCTTGGCAAGGACCTCTATTACACACTTGCCCGACGGCAAAGATGAAGAATGCGATTTCTGTGCCGGCTACTGCAGGCTATCTGCTATGCGAGTTCTTTATGCACACTTGTCAAGTTCAGTTATGAGTATGGAGAGAATAACTAGTGAGGACTTGGGATGAGGAATGTAGTCACGTGGCCAAGTCTAGACATTTTGAATGGCACTGCATGTGATGATGCGGTATTGTAGTTGGATATTCGTTCAAGACGGATTGCGTCAAGAATTGAGGGTATAGCTGGACTTTTGGCCATGTATACATCCACCATGGCCACCTCTTTGAGATAACCACCGTATCTTCAAATCCTCGGAGATCCATCATCATCTGGCATTTTCATGCCACCAGATCCCCTCATGAATTCTTCAGGAATCCCAATCTCTTCCTCCCGTCCCTCACCGTCCCCTCCCCCTCCCTCGACCTCTTCCTCGACCTCCACCCCGCCCCCGTCCCCCCTTGCCCCTCGGCCCGGCGCGCTCATAAATCTTTACATCCTCAAACGCGCTATCCGCAACCCGAATATAGCTCGGAATCCCATTATCCACCACAGCAAGCACCACATTCCTTCTCCCATGCTTCAACCTCTGATATGGCTGATCCGTCTCTTTGGGTGGATCCTCGGGCACCTGCGCCATGAGATCGTTGAGCTGTGCGCCCGTGGGAATAGGCGTAGTGCGGGCGTCTACAACGCAGATGCGAAAATCGGGGGGACCGCGGGCGGATTTGCGAAATTTGGAGGTTGTACGGTAGACGTCGAAGTGGATGCGGTAGGGATTTCCTGGCGAAGAAGGTAAGAGGAAAGTAGGTGGTGCGGTGCGGTCGTGGGTTGGGATTAGTCTTAGGAGGCGGTAGATATCGGTGTATGATCTGAAGAGGCCGGGTTTGAGGAGGGGCCCGAAGGCGAGGTTGGAGGCGGGGATGGTGTAGGTTGGATGGCTTAGGCGCCGCCAGATTTCGGAGAAGAAACGGATTATGACGTTGGAGCTGGAGGTGGCTTCTTGCTCAGATCTTGGGGGTGCTTCGACGATTTCGCCTCGGTCGTGGTCCCATGATCCGGTGCGGAAGATGACATAGCCTGATCTTTTCAGACCAGCGTAGACATTGTACATTTCCAACGTGAGTTTTCCTCCTACACCACCCTCAAAACCAATAAAGGCTGCATAGGCGGATTGCAGACTCATGGGTGCGCCATCTTCGGTCCTGTATACCGTCTTGTCGCCGATTTCGCGTTTTACCGGCCATCGACAGTCCAAGGTTCCTCTTTCAAGTAAGAACAATGCTTCTTCTGGCAATAGCCACTCTTTTCCTCCCTTGTTTGTGCCTATGGTTTGGAAGTGTTGTGACTTGACTTTGTCTACGCAAGCCATGTTGCGCTCTGGGTCATACATGGCTAGGACATGACCCTTTTGCGTGTGTGTACGCTGCCATGACAAGACGCCATGCATGGCCCGGCGCGAGGCCTCGAGAGTGTCGAGCTGGAGGTTTGTCTCATGACTTTCAAAGTCCTTCTCGCCGCGCTTTGGTAGTGTTGGGTGTGCGCTATCTTGTGCTCTGTCGCGCGAGCATTAGCATTGCAGAAGGATGGAAAAAACTACAGGCTGCGCATGCGAGATGACGCACGTCAATTTCTCAAGAAGTCGAAAGTCTTGGGCCTCCTCAGTGGGATCATAATCTGTCGCGTCAGGTGCGCGCAGGTGCGAGATGTCCTCATCTTGATCGGCCATGGCCGGGAAAAATGCTTGTGAGTGCGACGACGGGACTCTGGTGGGGAAAGGTGGCGGTCGGCACTGCGACCGTTGTGGGCGGGTTGCCGTCGGCATCCCATCGGCATCCTGTCGGCACCAGGCTAGGAGCGTCTCGACAACAGTGTGCTGTCTTGTCCGAGCATCTTGCCTGTCAAAGTTCAAACTCAACCCACTGTTATGGTATACTAGTCTATCACTACGGGGGCTTTCGGAGCTTGGTTCCTCCATTGCGCTGCCGATATCACACGATTTGGGAAGATTACTGTAACACAGAGCGGGGAAAGACATTCAGAATGCATGCAATGACAAAGGAGGAGCATCGAGACTGATCCAGGAAGTGGCATGAGCAGGATCATGGATTGCAGGGTAATATGTTGGACTTATAGATTGAAGACGCATTGACTGGCAGAAATGCTATATAAGCTCTGTTATGTCTGCTGGATTGAATCATCACACGTTCGAACACAATCTATTCATTCAATATCAATTCTCTTGACTCCAAGTTCCAAAACTATCATCATGCCTCTTACCAAGTACAAGGCTGCTGCCGTATGTCTGTCCCTGTTCAAACAATCTGGGATAACATCGAAGCCAGTCTAATCAAACTCTAGGTCACTTCTGAGCCATGCTGGTTCGACCTTGAAGCCGGTGTTCAGAAGACCATCAACTTCATCAACGAGGCTGGCCAAGCTGGTTGCAAGCTCGTTGCTTTTCCAGAAGTCTGGATTCCTGGTTACCCCTACTGGATGTGGAAGGTCAACTACCAGCAGTCACTTCCTCTATTGAAGAAGTACCGCGAGAACTCCCTTCCAATTGACTCTGAGGAATTTAGACGTATCCGCCGCGCGGCCCGGGACAACCAAATGTAAGCCAAGATTCCGTGCACTCGTAAGCGTCTCTAACATCGCCCAGCTATGTCTCTCTTGGCTTCTCCGAGATTGATCATGCCACCCTGTACCTCACTCAGACTTTGATTGACCCAACGGGCGAGGTAATCAACCACCGCCGAAAGATCAAGCCTACCCACGTTGAGAAACTGGTCTACGGTGATGGCTCTGGTGATACTTTCAAGTCTGTCACTCAGACTGAACTTGGTCGTCTAGGTCAGCTGAACTGCTGGGAGAACATGAACCCTTTTCTCAAGTCGCTCAACGTCTCTGAGGGCGAGCAGATCCATATCGCAGCGTGGCCGGTGTATCCTGGTAAAGAAACTCTCAAGTACCCTGACCCGGCCACTAACGTTTCGGACCCTGCCTCTGATCTGGTTACGCCCGCTTACGCCATCGAGACTGGCACCTGGACCCTTGCACCCTTCCAGAGACTGAGTGTAGAGGGACTCAAGAAGAACACGCCCGAGGGTGTCGAGCCTGAGACTGATCCTACCACCTACAACGGCCACGCCCGTATTTACAAGCCTGACGGCACGCTTGTGTCTAAGCCTGACCCAGACTTTGATGGTCTCCTGTTTGTTGACGTATGTTCTCACTCTAACCGTATCTGTTTGCCGATCACTAACAAACAAAAGATTGATCTGAACGAGTGCCACTTGACCAAGGCACTTGCCGACTTCTCAGGCCACTACATGCGACCCGATCTCATCCGGCTGCTTGTCGACACCCGACGCAAGGAGCTTATCACTGAGGCCGATCCTCAGGGGGGCATTTCGACCTATTCCACCCGTGACCGTCTTGGCTTGAACACACCACTCGATGGAGGTGTGAAGAAGCAGAAGAAGGTTGTTGCTGCTGAAGCCGAGTCAGCCAACACTACTGCGCTCTAGATGTTACTACGCATTAATAAGCTTCCAAAATTCTGATTTTGCCATTGTATTATAGTTGCATAACGTCACTACGCCCAAATTGATTACTTTACTCTTCTTGATTACTTGATCCCCTGGCATGGGTCTTAAAACGTGCTTCGGCAAACGATTAGTTGACAAGTCGGCTGCACTTCATCGATTAGTGGATCAATGCACGCATCCTAGTCAGTTTATCGTCATATTCTAAATTTCTTTCACCCATGTCAGAATATAGTTGATAGCGGGCCGTTGCGTTGCCGACCCCGATTTGATGATGGATAGCGTGAAGATTGGTTGACACGTGATATGTGGCGGATTTAGAGTTCACAAGATCCGAGCTTGAGCTAAAAGGCGGTGGCAGAATCTAGCGCGAACTGATCTTCGCGTGCGCAACTTTTCGAAAAGTTACCACTTGATAGTTCATCGCAAACCACAACCCACACGACCCCCACCATGCCGTCCACACATAATGTAGATAAACCCTGGGATACGGACGATATCGATAAGTGGAAGGTATGTTTGCGCCGATGATATATATCCGCATGCGCCAGATCCTAATTTTGCGTAGATTGAGCCCTTCAAGCCCGAAGATAATAAAGCCGGCGCATTCACAGACGAGTCCCGCTTCAGCACCCTCTTTCCCAAGTATCGCGAGCAGTATCTCAAGGGATCATGGAAGTTCATTACCCAAGCGCTGCAGAGACTGGGCATCGGATGCGAGCTCAACTTGGTTGAGGGCTCCATGACTGTATGGACCACACAAAAGACGTACGATCCAGCCGCAATCCTGAATGCACGCGATCTCATCAAGCTACTTGCTCGAAGTGTGCCAGCGCCACAAGCTATCAAAATCCTTGAAGACGATGTGGCTATGGACATTATTAAGATTCGGAACTTGGTGGGCAACAAGGAGCGTTTTGTCAAGAGAAGACAGCGTATCCTGGGACCCAATGGATCAACGCTCAAGGCTCTGGAATTGCTCACTGAGTGTTATCTGCTCGTGCAAGGAAACACAGTAGCCTGTATGGGCCCTTACAAAGGACTCAAGCAAGTACGGCGCATCATCGAGGACACCATGCACAACATTCACCCCATCTACGCTATCAAAGAGCTCATGATCAAGAAAGAGCTTGCCAAGGATCCCGAACTCGCCAACGAGAGCTGGGATCGCTTCCTGCCAAATTTTAAGAAACGATCTCTCAGCAAGCGCCGCATACCCCACAAGGTCAACGACAAGTCAAAGAAGCCGTACACGCCATTCCCGCCACCTCAGGAAAAGAGCAAGGTCGATCTGCAGATCGAGAGCGGAGAGTACTTCTTGGGCAAGCATGCAAAGGAGAGGAAAGCTCAGGAAGAGAGGGAGGAGAAGATGAAGGACAAAATGGACGCCAAGAGGAAAGAAAGAATGGCCGAGTATGTGGCACCAGAAGAGGATGGCGACAAGAAGAAAAAGAAGCGCAAGCGGGAAGAAGGCGAGGGAAAGGACAAGAAGAAAAAGAAGAAGCACAGCGCCGAGGGCGAGGCCAATGGCGATGCAGCATGAGACATTTCCTTTTTGTAAAGTTTATTGTGGAACGATTTATCTGCATTCTTTTCTCTTTAAGCTACATCAAATTCTAAGAGGTCAGGGTCGTATCGATTGAATGGCGGAGTAAAAGTACAGCAGTCTGAGCGACACTCTATAGTATTGTTAGGTGTTTAGGATATTCTGATAAGTTAAAATACCCATTTTCTCTTTGCTTGGAAAGGTCACACTCAAAGTACTATTAACAGCACGTGTAAGCGCAGGACTTGGCGCTCTAAACTTAGCGACATGGATCAAACATCTTATGTCTCAAGTCCTGACATAATATGTCCACGTCGATTTCCACTCCTCATGTCCACTTGGCCCTTCTGAGTGTTCGAATCTTTACTTACAATCTGTGTTATACCCATATCTCAAGATGCGCACCTACATTTCTCCACGGAATGCTGTTATCTTGGCGTGTTCTCCACGGCTGGTCTGGGGATGGCACTGCTGGAGTAAAAGTCCGCTATACACAATTGATCTTCAGAGCTCTTTGAACGGCTTGAAAGAATACGCGTTTTGTTCTGAATCCCCAGGATCCCCGGCCTTGGCAAACGACACGAAAAAGGAAGACTATGGGCAATGGTCACATGCACCCGTCTGCACATCCATTCTCCCAAGCATCAACGACAAGCTATGCGTATACACCGATACATCTTTTGCTCAAAACCGAGGCATCTCAATATTCACCACGCCAAGTCTGGCCAAGGACTTCGCATCGCTGCCCGCATTTCGCGATGCATCAGCCCTCGTATCTCAATCTATCAACAAGCCCACAGATACCTACCACGCCACATCCATCCCAGGAAAAGGCATCGGAATGCTCGCCTCGCGGCCCCTGAAATTTGGAGAGCGGGTCACAGCCTACACCCCTGCATTCCTAGCCTACTTGGAATCCGAACTATCCACACTAGACCGTGAAGCCCTCTGGCGCACCGCCATCGAGCAACTCCCCGCGGAGCTGAAGGAGAAGTTTCTCGGTCTCGCAACCGTATACGGCGACCCTAGAGTCCAGATCCAGGATATCGTTAAAGCGAATACGTTCCAGGTGCTGCTAAATGGGGTAAATCATCTAGCCGTGTGGCCAGAGACTAGTCGTTTGAACCACGCTTGTGCACCAAAGTACGTTTTCATGTTACTCTATCAGCCCCCCCCCCCCCAAAAAAACAAAAGACAATGAAAAAGCTAATGAAAAGGGAACAATAGTGCACAATACGTCATAGACACCGACTTGCTGTCCCACACCGTCCGCATCACACGCCCCATTGCCAAAGGCGAAGAAATAACAATCTCATGTATTCACCCCTCCACTATCACACCGCTCTCTATCCCGCCAGTCTAACCACCCGCAAATCTAGATACCTCACCCCTCGACCCAACAGAAACCCGCCAACACCACCTCGCCCAAGGCTTCCACTTCACCTGCACATGCCCCCGCTGCACATCCCCCATCTCCGACATCAACCTCTCCATCATCAACGATCTGCAGGCCCAGCTCAACGACTGGTCTGATGCCTCGCTAGGCTCGCCCCAGGTTGCTGAGGAACTCATGATGTTGTATCGAGAAGAGGGATTGGAGGGGTTCATGGATACGCCGTATGGGTTTGCGGCGTTGGCGTATAGTGCGGTGGGGGATGCGGAGATGGCGGTGCGGTATGCGAGGATGGCGAAGAAGGCAGTGTTGATGAAAGATGGCCGGGGATCGCAGAATCTGGGGATTTGGGAGGAGATGATTCGGGGAGTGAGGGCGCATTGGAGTTGGAGGCGAAGGCTTTAATATTAGAAATTGGTTTATTAAGGTAATTTCTATCTAGTATAAAAGAGTGAAACGTGGGGATCGTCAATCTAAATTATGTACAAAAGTGGGATAGAGGGGAGAATTATGCGCCTCCGGCGGCTATGATCTTCTTTCCTTTAACGCTCTTCTGCTCCATGCCCAAACTGACGAGGAAAGCAATGCAGCTCGTTGCAATGGCCAAGATGAACGCTGTAACAATCGAGTTGTTGTATCCACGCAACACGCCTGCCAACAACTCCTTAGGCACTACGTTCCTCAAATTCGTAGCTCCGGCATGCGCAACCATCCTGCCGTCAAGGCCAGGTGCGTACTTTGGAATCTCCTGGGCCAGGGTATTGACAAAGATATTCTGCGCAATGGAAATCGATAGCGCACCGCCTAGCGAGTTGAAAAACATGACGCACGCATTCGCAGTCGGCATATCCTTCTCAGTCGACACGACTTGCACGGCGACAAATGGGATCTGGACGCCTGCTCCGGCGCCGATACCAGCGAGGATTTGGTACCCGATCCATTCGCCTGCTGGAGACCCGACTTTGAGCGTGTACAGCATGCCTGCGCCAATGGCGAAGACGGCACTGCCGAACCACATGAAGGGGGCGTACCAGCCGACGATGGTGATGAGGGCGCCGATGACGATGGAGGAGCAGGTGATGCTGACGAGGTAGGCGATGGTGCGGATGCCGGATTCTTCAGCTGTGGTGCCTTTGATGGCTTGGAAGTAGAAGGGGAGGTAGAAGATGTGCCTGGTCGGAGTTAGTAACTGTTAGATTTTAGACGAGGGGGTTACCAGGGCGACTAACGTATACAAAGCCATTGATAGCAACGCCGAGAACAAGCTACTGACTAGTATCGTTCGCTGAGTAAAGACACGCACGGGCAGCGTAGCACGTTCGCCCTGTTTGACCTGCAAGAAGATGAAAACGCTGATGAGCAGACCGAATCCGAGTAGGGTACCCCAAACTTTGGAGTTGCTCCAAGCGTAGGTAAAGCCACCCCATTGCAGTGCCAGCAGCAGACAAACGATAGCACAGATGAGGAACACCGCACCGGCAATATCGATATTCTTGAGTCGTTCCTTGACAGGGATATGCGAGTATTTGCGTTCAGGGTTCGAAAAGAAGAAAAACACAACCGCGAGCGAGACACCTCCAAACGGTAGGTTGATCCAGAAGCACCACCTCCAAGAGAGACGATCAGTAAAGGCGCCCCCTAGAATTGGCCCTACAACGGAGGCGATGCCTGGATTGTGTTAGTACCGTACACTGACCTCGGGACGAACTGGTTTACATACCAAACATGGAAGACAAAGCAGCGATGTAGATAGCCCTCTTCCTCAGGGGTACCGAGAAACCAATAATCGTCATACCGCCCGAGTACAGCGCCGCTGCTCCAGCACCCGCAACTGCTCTTCCAATGATAAACATGGACGAGCTAGTAGCCGCAGCGCAGATAATGGAGCCGACTTCAAAGATAATCAGTGCGCCCAGATACGTGTATTTGACATCGAAGTAGGTGTAGATTTTGCCAAAGGACGGTTGGAGAGAGGTTGTTGTCAGGAGGTACGAAGAGCCGTACCATCCAACATCCTCGAGACTGTTGAAGACGGTTGTGATTTTCGGGATGGCTGTGGCGATGATTGTGTTGTCGAGTGCAATGACAAAGGTGACGAGGCATAGGCCGATGGAGAGAATTGCAAGTTTGAAGCCGCTGAGGTATTTGGACTCATCTTCAACTTCATCCTCGGCCTCGGCGTCGTCTTTTCCAGTAACCTCCAATCCACCTTTTTCCTTTTCTGTCTCGGTGACAGTGGTGTTCTCCCGTGGCGCGGTATCTGTACTCTTTCGCGGCTCGCTAGGTTGTGCTTGAGTACCGTCGTTGGTGGCTGTCGTTGCGGTGTGTGGAGTGTCCTCCGGCTTTGTTGTACTCTCGTCGAAGCTCCCTTGCGCATACGATCCTTGGTCGCGAAGCGTTGTGGTTGCGCTGACAGAAGTGTCGGCTGGTAACATCTTGCCTGTGTACCCAGAATGACCCAGCGTAGATCAGGCGGTCTTGTGGTGTTGTGTGCTACGTGATAATTGGTAATGAATGTTTAATCACGTATCAAGCCGTGGCACGACAAAATGTATGCTTGTCGTGTGACTTACAGCCTCGCGAAAAGTCTCGCAAAGAGAGAGATGTCGATGAGGTTCGAGAGAGGCATTACAGCAGCCTTAAAGGACTTGAAGAACGGCATGCAAAGCTGCTCACGCGCCACAGTTACCATGCAACCACACCGTACCATGACCGTATACTATACGGTCCGCTCATGGGCAAATGAGCTACTCTAACCGAGCATGCCTTGGCTCGGGGTGATGTTATTCCGATGCGCATGGCCAATAAGAATAACAAGGGGCAAATGCGAACGCGACGTTTGTGCTTGGCGGCATGACTCTAGTCTAGCTATGGGCGTTTGTGGCTTCGTGGTATCCCGGAAGAATTTGCCCTGTGCCGTACTCAGGGGTCTGGCCCTTCTTACGCCATCGAGTCAAGGAGAATATTCGGCTCATGAGATGGTTCGACGACGGCTTCTTTGTTTTGACTACATGTGGAAAATCACGCGATTAGTCATGTATATCGTATAGATGCATCGGATCGGCACCGTTGTGGCAAAAAGGCTTACGAGAAGAAAGCTGGTAGTTCCATTGGTCCTTCAGGGAAATGTACGATACCCAAAAAATTCTCAACGCAAATGAGTCGCCAATGGAATTCCCATGTTAAGGGTGTGGTGGCTCCGCGGCGGTGAGTATTAATTCGTAGCGATGTTGTGCAAGCGCACGTGCGGTGCACTGGTGGCGGGGTAATAAAAGTTTTTGTTTTGGCTACATAGGCGAGCTTCAAGCTTCATCCTTGATCCTTGGCGCGGCGGGCCGTTTCGCTCCCGAAAGCGTACCATGTGCTCGTGTGTACTTATGTAGAACGTGAATAGGTAGCCAAGACATGATCGCTATGCTGCAGTAAGAGTAATATAGTACAATTTTGAAGTGTTGTGCTTTGAATAACATACATTGAACCAAGGAGATGCAAAGCATAAGCAGTCCCAAAGCGGCGCCGAATCAATGGCCCCTAATCTGTTGTCATCAAATGCCTTGTCCCAATCAGACTTGATCAATTTTGCCGTACCGCTTCAGGCTTATATGTCGTATGGCAGCTGCATCACTACGGTAAAATTAGTAAATCCTTGTCGGATGTGTATGGAGGAGCATCTGACCTTTGCCAGGCACATCTCACAGGATGTTTCCACCTTGACTGTGGCCATGATTACGCCGTCGTGTCCGCGTTTGCATTTTTGTTGGATCATTTGGCCTTTGGGACATAGCTGTTGGAATACCATCTGCGTATGTCCGCATTGGTGAGTGTAGGCGTGGTAGAAGCACATGATGCGTATTGGTTTCGACCGTTGAAATCTGATTGTGGTACTGACAAGAGTGTTGGCTGTAGTAAAGTTGCGGCTTGTTGAATCTGACTTTAAACAGCCGTTTGGAAAGTGAATCTCTGCAAAAATTTCGCTCAAGCGACGTTTGTTTGCGGATGGTGAAAGAGCTAGCACTCTTTGCTGCTCATGAAGGAGGGGTCGCAGTCGTACTCAGTGAAATCGACGGATTGTAATACAGATTAGTTTCCTTAGAAAGGTTATGTGAAAGTGAGTGGCAATATACAGATGAATCTACAGAATGAGAAACTCAGAGCATGCAAGATGGCTAGAATGAGGGCCAGTGCTGTGTTGGGCTCTTGGGTGCATTTTTGACCTCTTTATCTCGCCAGGTGTTCGTCGCGTTGGGCACAATCGTCTTTTGTTCCTGATGTGGTGCAGTTTGATGTATGGAAACTATCAAACAATTAGGATTCATCAATCTTACCCGACAGTACTGAACAATCCGTTCTTGGGAACAATGGATAGAAAGATTTCACCTCGGGAAGATCCGGATAGGAGGTAGATGGCCAATCACCACGAAATTTACAGGACGAAGTCGCACAGAGTCGTTGGACAGTAGGTTGATGTCTCTTTTGACTCGAATTGTTTTTGCGGGAAGGCGGCTTCATTATTTTGTAAGCGACAGCGGAACATCCGGGTAGGTGAGTACAAGGTAACTAGTTGAACTGCCGTGTTCCACAAACGCATGCTTGTTGGCACCGATGGCTGTTCTGGGAGATGGACAAACATAGGTCTCAGCCATAATGGGCATTGTTCTCTCAGACTTGTAGCACTGTAGCAACCAACACGGAAGTTTGTTGTTTGATTCGCAAGACTAGGCGTTTATTCGCGTATGTTATGATTTTATGGGTCCCGTCTGACCGTGCGGATGCAACAAGCAAGGGAATGCTTGTGGGATTTTTCTTGATCGGGAACCAAGGCTAGGGTGTCATAAGTGCTATCGAGATTGAATCTATAGTAGGTGTCCGAAGGGAATGAGTCCGATCCCGGCCGCGATCCGTCGGCATCCTTGAGCAGCCAAGCAAGGCATTGGGGTAGGTCCGTCTCGTCTAGCATGTTCCGTGTCATATTTTCAGAGCATGTACATAATTTGAAGAGGGGGCTAGGGTAGGTGACGAAGCTTGATGTTTGCGAGGTATCGATAACATTCAGGCTAGTGTTTTCTGAAGCTTTGCATCCAATCAGGACATGGCCTCACCGCTAATTCGGGTGGAGTCACTGGGGGAGAAGAAGGCGGTGCCAGTCCTGCTTGGAGAGTGCAGATGACGAGACGACAATAGTCTCGTGGCTGTCGATAGCTGCCAGGTGTGGGGAAGAGGGCTGGTGGTGTGCTGGTAGGGAGGGTAGGTAGTAGAGACAAGCGCGGCTCCATGGGCATTTTAGCCTTGTAGGTCGCTGCATTGCCAGCTGGGGACGTGCGGACTGCCTCGGGTCAACCTGTCGGTCGAGTAGAAAAGGACGCCAGGGACATGGAGGCTTCTCAGCGTGGGTATCGTCAGCGTGCATGCAACTAGGCTCCACGGTGGGGTTGCAGAGGACCCATGAGAAGCAGACAGTGACGATTCTCAGCAGGGCGGCGAGGGTCGCTTGTGGCTGAGTGTCCGAGGCGTGTGTAGTGTAGTGTAGAGTAGAATAGCTCCAGAGCGGGCGGCGTGGCCATGGTGGCCATGGTGGCACAACTACTACTACATGGCAATGGTACTATTAACAGGATGAGGCGGTGGAACGATGCGCTGGCAAACGGGTGTGGTGGTTCGTCTGAGACGCAGCTGCGGCACAGCCCTGCAGGTGTGTAGAGGTAGCGCAGCAGCGGGAGCAAAACTGACGTCGGTTGAGGGACAGCTGGCAACGCCTTGGCTGGAGTTGTTACGGGAAATGCAACCTGCAGCCCGGCGTGTATGTACGGACATTGATACAGGTTAGCGGAGGAGCTGGACGCTTGACACGTAGCCCACCATGGCTCGCCTGTCTGCCCATTGATGCTGGGCCGGCTGCACTGCGTCTCCACGACGCCGGGTGCGTTGAGCGGGTTCATTAATACTAGCAGCCGTTTCCCTCGGGTTCGCCCTGCGATTCTTCTCTTTTTGCAGCCGTTGTCATCCTGGGTGTTCGCTGTCGCTGGCGCTGTCACTGTCACTGTCGCCGTCGCCGTGTGTGTGTGCGCGCGCGCAATTGCTCTGCGCACATTTTCTCGCAGTTGTCAACACCAAGCCCTCGGCCATCACAGCATCACGACAAGCAAATCTTGCCGCCCTCGCTCGCTCGTTCGCACCCAGCCCTGCGCATCCCGTAGCTCTTGTCGCAGTCAGTCATTGAGCGCGCGGCCAGGTCCGCCTGCTCGGCCGCGTGCCAGAGAGCTGCACTGACCGTGGCGGCCACACCGCCTGCCGACGTCACGGCCCTTTAAAGCGGTCGCATAGCCTGGCGCGCTGGGCATTGGAAATGCGCTGTCTGAGACATCAGGTCTACTACTTCTGCCAGCATCTCACCATCTCGACATCGACGCCAGACGTCTGCTAGTCCGCCGCACAGAGGGCCCTGCGTTGCCAGCCCCACTGCGCGCTTCCATTGGCTCGTCCAGCACGCCAACCGCCGAATAAGAAAAGGGCACTGGGCCCGAATCACGACATTCGCTCCGCCTACCCTGATAGAGACATATCCATTTCAAGTGAGCTTCGCTACGCCATGTGGCAGGTTAGCACTCGACTACGTCGCTGACAGTTGTCCCAGACGTCACTCATAGTCCATCATCTACCCGAGCTTCCCTATACACACCATTACCATCACTACCTCCACTACCACCACCACCACCACCACTACCTCACTCACCTCAACAATTCCCCACCCACCTATATCTACAACACTCGCCATTGTGCCATGCTCATCACCACATCCATTGTCGTCGCCTAGTCAACAAATCTCCGAACAGCGCTTCCCACATTGGTGCGTCATCACGGGAATCGACCTTCACTCATACAAGCGACGCGCACGGACGCCCGGTCAGAAGTGGACACGCATCGATTGGCCAGCACTTGTTGTTCTGGTTTCAAGTCTTACTTCGAATCGCCGCCATCATCCCAAGGCATCGTCGGTCTGCCTGGGCCGGGCTGCACTGTGTCTATCGTCTAGGAGATACAGCGCGACGGTCCGGGTTGGCTGTTCCGGTAAGTGAGGACGAGGGCAAGGTTTCCATCATCACTCCACCAAGATAGCCCCTGTATACAATACATGCTCCGCATACCTCCGATTCCTCCTGCCATCAGTGCCTTGTTGCCATCACCACCCCTTTTCGTTGCGTCCCCAGACTTACGACCTTTGACAGACGACATTGCTGAAAGATGGCTTCTCTAGACTTTGATCAGAAGTTTCTCGGTCGGATAGCCAAACAGACAGAGGAGTCCAATCCCTTCTTGTCAAGCGCCCTCTACCAGATCTTGGGTCTGTCGGTGCTCCTAGCCCGGAGACTCATCCGTGCCAGAAAGCTCCGCAAGCTAGATACTAGTCGAGATACCCCCTCACTCTCAGCCTACCAGCATATACTATGGATGTCCCGTGAGGGCCTGTCCATACTCGAGCTATATATCCTTCCCTATGCCCAGGATAACCAGCATGGACCTGAGTGCAGAGTATTGAGTGTCAAGCTACGAGCAAGCTTCTATCACATCTTCTGCCTCTTTCACAACCAGCCACCCGTCACTGCGACCAACATGGCAAGCACTGATCCTCGCTATCCAGGCGCACCTCAGCCACTCTCTCCTAAGAATGGCAATGCTCATGGTCGCAAGACAGATACAGGCCTATCGCCCCCTTCGAAACGAGCGGGTAAACAACCGGTACTGCGTGAGCCCGTCGACTCCATCGTGTCCGAGACATCGTTTGTCACGAACCCGTATGCTGCAGGAGGTCCAGTTGGTACTCCCTCACCAGGGCCACCCATCAATGCGCCTCCAGGCCTCAACCCCATTCCTATCCCGCAGCCCTCGTCCTTTATCCTTCCACCTCTCAACTTTGTACCCTTGGCGAGTGGATACTTTACAACCGCCACACAGTATGCCACTTCCTTTCTGCCTGGCTCACATCCTTTGAGATTGTCCGTCGCGCTGGAGCACAGTGCATTCTTGTGGGACTGTCTTCACGACCACGACGGATCCCGACGCGTCGCTCGACGTGCGATCAAGGATGTTTACCGCGCGCAGGAAGCCATGGACGATACCGAGTTTGAGGACGCCGCCGAGCTCGTGGGTATTCTGGGGCGAATGATGAAGCGTAAGAGCTGGGAAGGTACACCACGCGTTGGGGGAATGGCAAGTCCGGAACCTACTGCACAGCCCGCTGCACAAGCAAGCACCTCGGAAACACCAACTCGAGCTGCTACCTCTTCCACACAGCGTCCTCAGCAAAACAGTAAAAGGGTTGCTGAAGGACCCCCTCTGGCAGACGTCTTGATACCTCCGCGGTCATCAAGTGCCACGCGCAGTCGAGCAAACACGGCGAGCAAGTCTACCCCTCGCCAGAAAGAAAGCAGCAGTCACGAAGGGACACCAAAGTCGAGTTCGCGTCGGCGTTCGGGAAGCAGCAGCAGAGACGGCACTCCCCGCGCGAAACACGTCAGTGTAGAAAGCGGTGCCAGTACAACACCTCGTGCGCCGCAAGGAAGTTCGATTCGCTCGCCTACAACGCCGTCTACAGTTCGGACTTCACACCGAACGTCGGGTAGTGCCGGCTCCTCGAAAGGAACACCGGTCGCAGGGACCTCGACGCCCTTGACCCAAAGTGCAGCTGCAACCCTTGTTTCCGAAAACATGCGCAACTCGCCATCGCTCCGCCGCTCACCCACCCTATACCCACCCGAACAATACGGCCCGCGCTATTCACCCTCGCAAGAGAGCTCATACCCGAGACAACGGAGGTGACTAGTAGAGACGGGTCGGGAAAAGCAAAGAAAGATGGAAGTGCAATGGACCGAGGGCTACCGGGAAGCCGACATTGTGCTTCTGCCATCGACGCAGCCTTCGTCGGTTTCCACCACACCCGTGAACTTTGCGGGTTCCTCCTCGTACCCAGAGTACCCTATCAAGTTTCGCATTTAGCTTTTGCCAGGACGCGCGTGCATATACCTCCCGGTGAAAGCAAACAAACTTGCCACCTCCATCATCCCCTCCCGTCGCAGATGTACAAAAGAAAAGTCATACCCCCTTGGAATCGTCTATCCACGATCCAGTTCCGACATATCCATACCTTTGTCGTACCCTTGACACTTTGTCGTCGTTTTGTACCATAACAAACAGGCGTTGATTGGGCGTATATACTTTGTTTTCTCTCTATCTCTATCTCTCTTTTCCTTTTTCACCCTCAACAACATGTGTGTTTGCACTCTTGCATTGTAGCATACAGGAATCTTGTTCGTCAAGAGTTGTAGCTTTTTTGTTTCTTTCTCTTGTGAAGATAAAAATGGGAAGCAGACCTCTCCAGGTGCAACAATAATGTCTTGTACTGTTTTCTTTTTTTTCTACTGTTTGTTTGTTTTTCTGTTCCGTCGGCGCTGGAGGAGGTTAATCTGAGAAACTCGCGCTTTGTAGCATTGGAATAGGGTGGCCGTAATGATACCATTGTGTTGGTTTGCTCCTTTTCTTGGTAGATTTGAACGTGGAAATTAAAGTAATGCTTTCTCTGTTCAAGATCTGATCATGGATTATCAACTTGACGTTACGTTTTGGGGTGCCTTATGTGTAATCGCGACTGCTTGCGATGATTTGTGGTGTTTCTAACCCTAGGTCTAACCCTAACCCCGACTCTGACCCTGACCCTACCCGTAACCTTGGCCCTAACCTTGACATGAACCCTACGCGGCTTCACTCCTAACCCATAAGAAAATGAAGGTCTTTCTTTTATTATCACGTTGTCAGTCAAAGTTCCCCTCGCTCAGGTTGGATTCTATGCCGTGGCATATTCTTATTGTTACGATGCCTAGTATATAATATTCCATACCGCAACGAAGGAAATGATAAATGTCTTACTACGTACCAACACATCGCTAAGCCCTGCAACCATACACACAGCAATTATATCGTGCTATAATATGGCCGTTGAAACTGTGCAATAGAAGCGCTCCTCAGACACAGCTGCCATGTATGATTCTCCATCACTCCTCGACTTAAAAATCTCCACCACTTTCTTAAGCCCGCAAAACCATATTCCGTCGACTCCCGATTTTCAACATATACACAATTATCAATTACTATTCGCGAGACATGTCTTACCAACCAACTATCCATGTCACAAAAACATTGTTCCACCACAAATTTCTACGTTACCCACCATCCCTGTCCCACAAGCCCCACTCCCACCCATCCTTCGCTAGCTGAGAACCCGGCTAATTCTCAGCCGTCTCCACATTTTTCCAGTGAAAAACGCATTTGCAACCCCACTTTGAATACATTTTCCGCACAACGTTATAGTATGTTTAATTTTCGAGTGCTTCCATCAATCCAATAAAGTTGTTCTTCAATACAGCGAGATCAGTTCGACCTTCCATGTCAACTCAATTCAGCAGGTGTTCCGCTCCTGCTCAATGAGTTCGGCTGGGAGGTACCAACACTCGCTCCTTCTCTCTTCGAGAAGGTGCCAAGGTCGCTTAGCTCAGTTGGTTAGAGCGTGGTGCTAATAGGGACTTTGATTTCCTGTGATACGCCAAGGTCGCGAGTTCGACCCTCGTAGTGACCATTCTTTTTTTTTGCGTTTGTAAATCACATACGCTATTTCCTTACCGCTATAAGCCGAAGAGTCGGGTCGGACATCGTTATTCTGGGCTTTCATGCCTGGCTACTAGGACGCCTAAGCGATTTCGCAAGAGCCTCTTACTCTCTCTCTACTATTTATATCATTGCGAACTTCGAACTGGCGGAAATAGAGTAAGAAGTTGGCGATCTTGGGCCGAAGAATAAGATGGGAATGGTGCGAGTAACGCTTTTACGTGGAGAAGCCTAGCACATTGAGAAGCAACAACGAAGTCATTGCCCAGGAAGCCTATCGATGGCCTTAAGTGTACGTAATGTAAACTATAATGCTGAATAGGGTGTCTAGGCTCTGTCGTTGGGTCTTGTGTTGCTGTGCTGTAGCTAGATAGCTACCGCTATATTTAGTAGAAATGTTATATTAAGTAGCTTACTCGTAAATTTTGCTATCTATACTAGCTAAGGCCGCAATAGCGGCTCTATAGGTGCTAAACCGACGTAGGGGGACGCGCAATGGCCTACAGAGACCGTTGCGGCTATTAGCGAATGTATTTCTAGTCCTTTGTGACGATAATTCTAAAAACTAATTTCTCGCTGTTTCTTTCGTTATCGAAGATGCTCGAGCCGTGCCAAGCTTCTAACTCGCTTACTAGTTATCTATTTAAATTTGCGCAATTTACTTGATTTCAATCCTTAGCAAAGTCTGTTAACCGCAACGCCCCACCTATCCTAGATTTACTCAAGGTAGCTTAATACACCCCGAAATTCACATGATGGTTCGTCAGGTCCGTGTTCTAAAAGCTACGAGGATGATCTCTACGCTTGTTGGGCAGAGTGGTCGCGAGTATAACCTCCAAAAAGTGCTCCAACGGCACCCCAAGAAGCCTAAACTTAGCGTTTACCTTACGCTGTGAGTTTCGCAACTCCCGCGTATCTATCAGAATGGGTCAAATTTACCGCTTTTCCCCAGCTATAACAAGACACCCTATATCGTGAAGCCTATCTCAGAGTTCCATCTTAGAGCATCTGCAAGAGTTTCGAGCCAAGTTTAAAGGTCATCCCCGTCTTCGCATTTATATAGACAAGATCCAAAAAGAGAACATTCTCGTTTACGAATACTTTAAATTAGATTTACTCGCGTTAGTAGAGAATTACCCTCCTCTTCTATTAATAGTAAGGAAAAAGATATTAAATAAGATCGGAAAAACACTTGCTAAAATGCATAAGAAGAATTAGATTCACCTAGGTACAAAATTGCCTACATAGCCTAGCTTTAATAAATATTTTACTAATTTATCTATAGACGTAAAACTGGACAATATCTTCCTCAATTAGTACGTAGACTCAAGCGACGAATTCTACCTAGATAGAGTAGTCTTAGGTAACATAGACTACGCTTTAAAATTAAAAGGCGAGAAACTACTAAACTATAAGATTAGAAACGTTATATAGCGTAGCCTAGAAGGACAGCTAGGAAGAGGCGTAGGAAAGCCTTCTGAAGTCTTCTCTTTTGCTCTCTTGGTAAGTCTTGTACTCATTAAGACCTGCATAAGTTTATTAACTACCCAACCTAGTGTCTCTACGTCATCACGGGGGTGCAGTTATTGCACTTCGACTTTATGGAGCTTAACACTGAGCCTGAGGTGGTGGTTTTATTTAAACTACTTTCGACTTTCGGCCCGCTACTGGATGAACTTATAAAGCATGTCGATGATGCCAACGCTAGTAAGTTTCTGACCGACTTATAGCAGGCAGTGAAGGAGAACGACATGAATAGGGATTTCGCGGATTAGATAGAGGACGTATTTCCTAACCTTACGGACGAAGCAAAGAGGCTGATCTTAAGGATAACTAATCTCAATCCGGCTAAGAGGGCAACGATGTCAGAGATCGTTAAGGATAGTTATTGGGGCGAAGATAATAAGTCTTAAGTAACAGTTAGCATATTAGGTTCACCGTGTTAAAATTGAAGTATAGAACTGCAGTGGCTTCTTAAAAAGCTTATCTAGTTATAACAGCCTCCGTTTCTTTCCTTGTTTTGCTTCTATATAACACCTTTCCATCATAGCATCAACGAAAAAAATTCAAACTGTGACTCTAGACCCTTCAAGCTCCTCTATTATTAAGAGTGTCTTGCTGCCCGACATGCTATTCTATCCTGAGCTCGCTGGTCCGGAGGAGTGGGTTTAAGGATAAACCTGCTTGGTCGTGATATGGTTGCCCTGGGAATCTTCGAAGACAGTGGTGAAGTGAGACTTGCTGTCGCTTTCGCTTGGATGCTCTTTTTCGCTGAGGTTCGTTGCTAGTTCTGTCAAGCACAATAATAATAAGAATGTCTCTCAAGTTAAGATCGCATTAGCAGCACCAGCAGGAACGTTATTAACCTTCTTTAAAGCATCGCAAAACTCGTCTTGCACGCTTTTTGCCAAGAAGTTACACTCCAAGTAGAAGTTTTGGTGGCATACTTGACTTGGATAGCTTTACCGCCTGCAGTAACAGTCTTGATCACTTTGCTAGAAATGACTTTATTGTAGGACATGTTGCGAAGAGGATAAGTCGTCTTAATTTGTAGATGTGGTGTCCAATTGCTAGTCTATGTTGTGTCTTTTATGCAACTTGATCCAGCATACGTTCGTTCCTACCTCTTTTATATATCTGACAACGAGACTTAGAAAGCACCTATCACCAAAATTACTGCACTATTCGTCACCGGCGGCAAGGCGCGACTGAGGCACAGTCATCGGCGCCGAAGATCCATTGGTTCTAATGTACTCAAAATAGCCACTACAAGTGGACAGTCAGCGTGACGCTGAAAGCATATTTACCAGCAATACATTTCGTTGATCAAACGGCGTGAGGCTAACGAAGCTGCACATTCCAGTCATTTTTATTATTTTTTTTACACTGAGAAAATGCGGTATGCAAGATATACTCTAGAGGCTCCCGCGGAATGCAAGAATATCGACAAACAACTAAAGTAAAGCTTGTCTACCGTTGTAAATATCGTTTCCTCCTCCCCAAACACCACCACGACACCCTCCACTTCCACCTCCCCTTTCCTTGTACCCCGCCCCCTTCAACTTCTCCAGCAGGACTCTAGATCACACATCAGTCTATCTCCTCCAAAGTCTCGAGCAGAAAAGTCATACAGCGCTACTCCCGTTTCCCTGGTGTTCAGCACGATCTGCGGGCTGGGGCAGAGGTACTATATCGGTGAGGAGTTTTGTATCGAAGATGAGGGGGAGGTATGGCGGGGGTGTGGGGACGAGGGGACGCGGGTCTTTGTGTTGCCATTTGTTGATGGCGTGGTTTGGTTTTTTGCGTCGTTGGCGGTGGACTGATGCATGAGGTTTTTTGTGGTTTCTTGGGGTCCAGGGGAATGCGATGCGGCGTTTTGGTAGCGGTATTGTGATGATCTTCCTAACGGGTGACTTGGAAGCTTGCTTGGCGGGATACTTCTTCTTCCTTGTCTTTTTCGTATTCAGAATGGACTCGTCGCTTGCTTCGTCGTCTTCTGTCGTTTCCTGCACTTCCAACTTTATTGTCTTGCTGTCCTTGTCATACTCCTGTGTACTATCCATGCTGCTCTTTGGCGTCCCTGCGACTACCGTCCGCGTAGGCGGTCTTGCGTCAATATCTTCATATACGAGTTTCTCTTTGAACCAGTAGGGTGTCGCACTTCCGGTTGCATGCCGCGCTTCAAAGTACTCTCTGTCGTTGGGATAGCAATCGAAGCCCAGAAGATAGAGTGTTGGATTTGGAGTTTTGCGGGTGGGCGGTTGTGTCATGTTTGGGATGAAAAAACGAGATTTGGTTCAGGGTTACGATTGGGTTTATAGAGTTGGGGATCCGGTTTGCGTGAAGAGTTAGAGGGTACAAAGGTTGCTGTAGGATTGTAGAGTTTCAGGTAGAGCAAGCATCATCTACAAACTGCGCAGCCGCAGTCAATGAAGAATTGTTGTCAGTACCTGCACTAGAGCATGGTACACTGCATCTCAAATTATTTTCGCACGAGTCTTGATTCCAGGCTTCATCAGTCTACAGCCTTCCATAGCAAATCAATACATCATGAACGCAAAGGAAACATACCGCACAAAGGCCATGGCATTGTATTGATGTGATTGACATAGCAACTCTCCATGCGGTGGAAACAAAGCTCCACGACAATTATCAGAAAACACATCCCGGAACAATGGGGAATGACAGGCACACAAGTGCAGTTTATGCCAATTTCCCTGGCACAAAGGGCAGACCCCCACTCAAGCCACCATCCACAGCCCAGGCCTGTGCGTTGACATAGCTTGCTTCATCGCTTGCTAGGAATAATACAGCCCGCGCAATCTCATCCGGCTGTCCTCCTCTCCGCAGCGGGTTCAGCTGCCCAATTTTCTTCTCAGTTCCCCTCTTCCTCGCCGCATCGTACGTGGCCCTGGTCATACCCGTTTCAATAATCCCAGGGCAGATGGCGTTGCAGCGGATACCCGATCCGGTAAGTTGGTAGGCACAGGTCTGCATCAGGCTGATGACTGCAGCCTTGGAGGCGGCGTAGTCGGTGGGACCGGCATTCGAGCGCAGACCTGCTACACTTGCAGTGCCGATGATGCTGCCGCTGGGGTACGGTTTTTGGTCCGAAGTCTTGAGCATTGCGCGAGAGGCGTACTTGGCTGCCAAGAAGACGGACAGGGCGTTTGTGCGCATCATGTTCATGAAGCCTTCGGTGGTTTCCTCCCAGAATACTCGGCCAGAGACTATTCCTGCATTGGCGAAGAAGACGTCAAGACGACCATAGGCATCCAATGCATCTTGGCAGACCTTTTTGACAGAAGCCTCGTCTGCGGCGTCGAACTGGCGAATATGAATATCTGTTGAGGGATACAGCGCGTTGAGTTCGCGCTTGTGCTTCTCGAGATGAGAGTCTGAGAAGTCGCAAATATAGATTGCGCGGGCGCCATTACGCGCGAATTGATGTGCACTGGCGCGGCCGATGCCGATTTCAGAGTTTGCACCTAGAGTATTGTTAGACGGGACACTCAGTTGCGATGATGGTTGTGCATACCAGTGATGATAATGACCTTGCCTTTGACCCGTCTACAGTGAAAGTCAGCCCAGCTCAGCTGCCTGTCATTGTACACCACCTCGTATACTCACTGGTCTCCCAAGTCGCCAGCTACACTTCTGATCCCGCGCATACCCTCAAACGACACGGTCTCGGGTATGGGCTCGGAGAGCTCCTTGCTCACACCCTCCTGCTTGACTTTTGCCGTAGAATCAGGCATTGTGTATGTAACTAGAAAAAGACGGGGAGGCTATTTGGACAGGGCAGCAAGGGTCGTGGGTGTTCAACGTCGCAAACTCAGAGCTGTAGGGATAATGACGAGGTTGCGGAGTTGGACGCGGAGGTAGCAAAATCCGGGGAAGATGCCGAGGTACCTAGGCAATACGAGCATGGTGTCGGGGTACGCGACATTGTCGGTTGTCGCGAGGCGCATGTTGCCGCTCGCCGACGCTTGGTAGTAACTTCATCGAGCACAGTCGCGAGTACATTCAGTTCTAACGCATGGTATTTGCTTGCATGACTCGGTCCGAATAGTACAGTAACAACTGTAATTGGCTGCGCAACGCAATACTGTCTTACATGCATACTACTACTATTACAAGGCAAGCCTGCTCTACTCGCCATTTCCGTTTGTACTCTCCTCGTTTTCCTTGCTTGCAGCCTGCGCAGCCTTTGCCATCTTCCATTTCTGTGCGTTCGCCAGGAGTTTTGCCAAATTCGCTGCGCTCTCATCATCTGCAGGGAATACATAGTCGACGTACTCCTCAAAGCTGTCGTCATCCAGCTTTCTCCTCTTCTTGACCTTGCGCGGCATTTGTTTCTCAATCTTCTCCTTGTCCTCTGGACTACCGTGAACGTCTTCAAATGATTTCCATGCGGTAAGTAGAGCCACACGATCTTCTTTGAGATCGCGCTCCTTGAGGCGTGTGTGCGCACGCTTGAAAATTTCACGGGCACGAGCCTTGGCGGCGTCGCTGATGATTTCGTCGTCTTCGGGCGCCGACTCGTCGGAGACTCCGAGTTCGAATTGTGCCCATGAAGTCCATACCTTGACATGGTCCGTCTTCTGCAGAAGACGTTCATAGAGTGCACGTGTGCGATCATACTCGCCCTCACCTTCTTCAAAGTCAATGTAGGCTTTCCAGAGAAGCTCAGGCATGTCTAGTTGTTGCTCCTCAACGGCAAGCTCAAAGATGGCTCGCGCACGATCGAGGTCGTCCAGACCTCGTTCCAGTTCAGCAAACTTGATCCAGGTCTGGCAGTTCGACCCGTTCCATTCAATATACTTGGTGTAGAGCTGCCGACAGCGGTTGAACTCAAAGAGCTTCATTTCAAGCTCAATGTATCCTTTGAAGAGCTTGTCCTTCGGGCACATGCCCAAGCTCTGACCGAGGAGCTTTCGTGCAGTGGTAAGCTGGCCTTGCCTTACCTCAAAATGGGCAAACATTAGCCAGACCTTTGCAAAGGTAAAGCGCTTGTGTGGAAGTAGGCGGATACACTCCTGGTATATTTGGCGTGTTCGTTCAATGTCCTGTGAAACAGTTTCTTCATAGACGGCGTAGAACAACCAGAGGTAGATATACCTCCTCCAGTGTCGCTTCTCTTGTGTCGGTGGTATTTGTGCAATCGCTCGCTCGTAAATGTCACGAACTCGATCCTGGTTGCCAGATGTCTCTTCCAGGCGTGCAAAATCGATCCATGCATCGTAGTTCTTGGGATTCTCCTTGATTTGTTCTTCGTAATGCACTCGTCGTTTCGACAAGACAACATCCTCAATGCCATCTCGGTCTCCGTACTGCTTCTCGAAAGTTGTAAAGGCCTTGTGCAGGTTGACCGATTTCGACCGGGGCATGCGGTCGAGGGCGAACTTGTAGATGGCTCTGGCTCGTTCCAGTTCCTTCAACCTCGCTTCGAACTTGGCGTATGCCATGAAGAGCTTCTCGTCCATAAACTCATCGCCGAGTGTGGTGACAGCAGTACCGTAGACGTCGCGCACGAGGTCGCTCGTGCCATGCTCCTCCTCGAACTTGGCCCATTTGATCCACTGCATAGTGTTAGTTGTTGAATCACAGCATCTAAAGGGCAAACTTGCATTCTTTGGTTCTGGATGGACGACAGTAAACCTTTCAAAGATAGCACGGCATCTCTCAAACTCGCCATGTCTCTTTTCCAGCTTAATGTATGAACTCCAGGCCGCCTCATCCGGTTCCCACTGCATCCAGCGTTCAAAGACGGACCGAGCACCGTCAATATTGCCAAGGGTCTCCTCCATATAGACATACTTGTACCATATCTTGTCAACTCGTGGGAGGATGGTAACAGCACGGTCAAGGAGGTTGCGTGCATGCTGAATGTTTCGATGCTTCATTTCGGAGTCGATATAGCGAAGCCATAGCGCGACAGACGTCGAGTCAACATCGAGGGCTCGTTCGAAGATGGATCGCGCGCGCCTGAACTCCTTCTGTTCCAGCTCCCAGGCAGCATAGCGCATCCAGTTGTTCATGTTGATACGATTCCGGCGCACATAGTCCTCGAACTCTTTTCTTTTCCTGCCCTGGAACTCATGCAGCTCCTCCATATCAGCGAAGCGCTGCGTGGGCGCCTTGAGTTTCTCATCTTGACGGTCGACGGCTTCGCGCAGAAGCTGTTCTGCAGAAATCTGGATGGGAGCGGCGGCCTTGTTCTTGACCCGTGGCGGTCCTCGTGAAGCCTCCATGATGAAGGATGGAATATGATGTTGTCGTATCTATAAAATGATTCGATGGGACGAACGAGGTGGTGAGGAAAGACGCCACGCGCGTCGTATGTGGATGCGAAAGTGGTTGCGACTGGGGAAGGTTGGGTGAGAAAGTTGGAGACGCTCGGATCAGATGGCCGGCAATCCAGCGTGGAAGCGCGCACAGAATTACCACGACTCGAAGGCTGGTCGACGGCGATTGGATTTGTGTGTATGAAAAGCGGTGTTGCACGGCGATTGGTCCTTCTGTCAGGCCTTGGAAAAGTTAAGAACGCGACTGCTTCGCGCAACTTTTGGCCGCGCCGCGCCAAGCAATTAGCATCCTCAGTTTCACGTCACTGCCTTTGCAATTCCTCCATCACCCACGACACAACACTTTACCTAGCCCATACTCAACTCGACCGGCGGTCAATACAAGGCGACAGGTACGTATAATATTGCGCGCTGCCGAATCCAGCACTCAACCAAACTTTACTAGGAGGGTAACCTCCGGCCGCCGTCGCGACTGCCTCCATCTTGCGCCCGTTCTTCTCCAATCTCGACCACTGAGCCCTCTACATCACACCAAGCACCATGGCTACTCTGGAACAAGAACTTCTGGCCGACTTCGCCGACAGCGGAGACGAAGACATTCAGGACTTGGAGAATGACTTTGCCGAAGGAGACAACGGGTCCGATGATGACATGGTAGATGAGGAGGCGGAGTACAGGGCCAAGGAGAAAAAGGACAACAAGGGACCTGCAGACATACGATCGGCTCAGCAACTCAAAGCAAACCTGGAATCCGTGCTTGCACGTATCGAGGAAACCAAGGATCAGATGGACGTTGTGGATGGTGAATCTTTTGAAGACTCGCCGGAATACAAGCTCCTCACCGAAGCCAACGAATTCTCTACTCAGATTGATGGCGAGATCGCAGCCGTTCACAAGTTTATCAGAGATCACTATTCGGCCTTCTTCCCGCATCTGGAGGACCTGATCAAAAATCCCGTCGT